TACTATAAACACTCTATATTTCACAATGCATTGTGTTAGTGAGCTATAATGTTCATTAGGTTTAGTGTATTGAATGTTTTTTGACTTAAGATACTTTCAATCAACGGTGAGTTTATTGGTATATAACTGTTGTAAGTTGTAGAGTATTTGCACAATTTCAGCAAATGAGAAAATATAACATATGGTAAAATGAGATTCATAAAAAAATCAACAAATCTGAAAAATAAATGCATAAATTGTTATATAATTTATAGACGTTAGAACTAGCACAAAATTCTGGACACAGTGGCACATGCCTGTAATCCCAGTGGTTTGGAAGGCTGAGGCACGAGGATCACAAGTTCACAGCCAGCCTTAGCAATTTAGCAAGGGCCTAGGCAACTTAGCAAGACCCTGTCTCTAAATAAAATACAAAAAGGGCTGAGGTTGTGCCTCAGTGGATAAGTTTCCGTGAGTTCAATCCCCAGTACAAAATGATTTTAAAATTTAGTGTCATAAATACACTTGAATATTTATAACCAAAAAGTGAAATAAATGTGTAATATGGGGAATTCCATAAAGTGAATGAAATTTTTTTAAAAAATCATAGAATCAGTTCTAGAAAACAGAAACATAGATGGCCTGAACATCAGTACACATTGTGAAGAGAGGCAGTGATCTCAAAGAAAGGTTAGAAAACCAGATAGTTGCATCCCAGGTCCAGGTCTAGTTGTGTTATATAAAATTACTTTTCCTAATTCTTACTTCAGACTAATATAATCATGTTCCTTAAGAGACAGTATCACACAGTACTATGAATCTCATAAAATTTACTAAAATAACTCTCCTGAGAATGTTGTTCACGGTATCAAATAGTTTCTCCTGTACAAGAGCTGATGGGCAAAATCTCCATGTGGCCCCAGGACCAGGACATTTCTCCTGAGCAACTCATTATCTGTTTTTTCTGGACTCTGCGAATATGTGAATGAGCCTGTCTTAATCATCTTATGGTCCTCTAATAATTGTGACCCACATGCAACCAGTGAATAAGGTATCATAGGCCTTATTTTTTAAGTTTTCTCTTTATTTTATTGGCAGTATATTCCCCTGGACTCTATTCTGATATTATTACTGATACATTTTAATATTATGTGCATATTTTTGTAAGTAATGATTCATAATTTTTGGAACTATAAATTATTATAAATTGAATAATGGATTTGTAAGCCAATTGATAGTTGTAAGCTGTTCAAGGGCTTAAGCCTTCACATTTTTAAGTTATAAGGATGTTAAACTTTGTTTTAATGACTAATGCCACCATTGGGAAATATAAAAAATTAATCTATCTTATGGTCTTTCATAATGTTTGTAAAAACCCTGACATTACCAACCAGACAGCTTTGATGTTGCAGGTACTTTATTCTGTACTTAGAAATTGAAATATTTTATATGACATTATACATTTATTATTTTTCCTTGAGAAAGTATCCCTGGTACAATTTGTTAGTCCAGTTCAGTCTCTTTCCTACAGAGCTTAATATTTTCCAACATTTTTGTGCATTGTGTTCTGTATTTGGAATCTTAACTACTGATTAAAATGTTCCTGTATTAATTATTTTCCTCATGAGTATCATTCACTCTAATGCCCTTCTCACATTTTTATTGATTCTTTTTAGTTATACATAACAGTAAAATCCACTTTGATATAATTATATAAGCATAGAATATATCTTATTTTAATTCGGGTCCCAGACTTGTGGATGTACATGATGGTGAGATTCACTGTGGCATATTCATATATGTATATAGGAAGATTATGTCAGGTTCATTCCACTCTTTCTTTTTCCTATCCCCCCTCCCAGTCATGCAATTCTTCTATTTAACTATTCAAACCATTTGATTTTTTTATCCCAGTTTTTTCCTTTCCCCTACTTTTTAATATATTAATGTATCATCCTTCTGTATCTATGGTCTTCTAAAATGTGTTGCTTTTGTGTAAAACTCGAATTGTAACACAGAATTAGAAAACAATGCTTCGAGCTGAATGCATTTCATTTAGCTTGTTCTTAAAGACCTTCCCACACCACTCTACATCTAGCCAGTGTCTGGCCTCTACACAGGACCCTACAGTGTGCATTTACCACATTTCACTAAATTGGTAACCTGTTTACCACAGGGTAAACATATCAGGTATGCTTCTAGCACCTCATGACCATTAAATTGTTGTGACAAACATCATTGTATGTTCCCTCGTGGAACTGAGGAGACATTATGTTCAGAAGTGGGATTTCAAGCACAACATGACTATACTTAGATAAGACACTGACACAAGCTCTCCCTAATCACTTCACCACATCAATGCAGGAGGAGTCCCAACTATTGCCCATTCCTGCATACACTGAGTTTTTCTGGATTTCTGATTTTCCCAAATTGGTAATGTAAAACAATACTTTCTTTTAATTCTCACTTCTCTAATGACTAGTGCATTTGAGTATCATTTATATACTTTCATCTTTAGGGGTTTTCATCTGTGAATGTGTTATTCACACACTTTGTGTATTTTACAAATTTTTAATCTTCTTATTAATGCTTGTGCAAAATTATCTTTTCATCCCTCAAAACACTGACAGAATATATCGTGCTTTAATGTAACTGAAGAAAAGAATAAGGAACCTTTTCAAAATCACTCACTTCCCCAGGAGCATAACCACCACTTTTGTTCCTGGTCAGTGGTTTGACAAAAATTCATGAAATGTCCCAGAGAGGGGCCAATCCACATGCCACAGTTAAAACCAAAGCAGTATAAAAGTTGAAAAAGATAGGGACTTGTATTTAAAAAATAAAATAAAAGAGATATGTTTTAAGAAATAGTCAACTTCAGGAAGAAAGTGGGAGTGGGAGGAAGAAGGATGTAAAAGGATATTGCGACCCAAAGTAGAGATCAGCTGAGTCCCCTGACGTCTGTGTGCATCTAGCAGGATGATTTCAGTCTCCAACAAGAGGACACCCAACTTGATGACCTGAGAAAACTCAAGGAAGCATATTGGCCAATAGGACTGAGAAACCCAGGGTCATGCAGGCTTTGGTTACAGTGGATCAGGACTCTTCTGTGAGTTTGTTTCCTCTAACTTCTGGTCTGTATGATTTCATCCCTAGATTTGTTTCTCACGTGCTGAAAAATGACTTGGGGAAATTCTACCCAGCATGATAACATCCAAAACAAGAAGGAGCATCTCTTTCCCCCACCATCAAATGTGAAAATTGGGCTGCACATAAACTGAGCCAGCCACCTTAGGACAGGTGCATACACTGCCTCAACCCTTAGAGCCAATGTAAATGGGTCTCTGGTGTTTGTCTTGATTTATAGATTACCTGTTTTCTTTAGTCTGTCATATTGGGACCTCATGATTGCCTTGTGCTGATCATCGGTGCTGGGTGAAGTCAATCAACTGAAACCCCATTGCTGCCATGGAAACATGAGACAGTGGACTGGAAGCTACATGGTTAGTAGCCAGTCATGTCCAATCCAATTAAAAAGACTTCAGCTGTCACAGCGTTTATTCTCCCCCTCCCATGTTTTTACCTTTTCCTCTTCTCTCATCACAACTTCTTTTTCCAATTATTGTCCTGTACTTTGGAACTACTCTCAGTTCTCAGGGAATGTATTATTCATACAACTAGTAAGAGTTAGATGCGTGATGAAGGAAGGAAGGACAAGGGATGCTTCAATGAATGTCTCTGGAGGAAATCCACGGGGAATTTTCTTAGGTGTGCTGTCCCCTGTTCCTGGTCTCTCTGTATGTTCCCCTGGCCCTGGGCTCCACTTTCTCAGCTTCCTAAATGAAATAAGGCTAAGTCCCATTCCCCATGTTCATCTCAACTAATTCTTCCAGGAAGCGAAGAAAGAAAGAAAAATGAAAATAATTAACTGCACAATCAAATTGGGTAAGCAAAATTTTCAAGCTCAGAACACAGTGATGATTTTTTTTTCCTTCCATTACTTTAAACTCAATATGCACCTGCTGCTTAGTGAATGTACAGTAGGTGCCTAAGAACTGTTTGTTGAATCAATTTATGAATTTTAAAGTATTGAAGTCTGGTCATGGAGGTCTTGACTCACTGCCAGTTGAGGTCATTAGTACATCCCTATTAGTCAGGACTTCTGAATTACTCTACCTATGGATATTTGTAACCCTGCAGTAAGTACTCAGAGTGCTTTTGTGGTCATTCATGGATATATACAGAGTGGTACAAAATGGGAGTCAAATGAAGAACACATTGTCTATGAAAGCCAAAAAACTTGATGCTCTGTCTTCAGATTTCACTTCTGAAATCTGGATGAGCATTCTTTGTGTGGTCTACCCAGTGCCGTGTTTTTCACACTTTTGTGCTTTTTGTTACTGATTTTGCCAAGTAAAATGATGCCAAACACATCTCTAAAATGCTACCTAATTTCTTAAACTGAAAAGGCTCTGATGTGTATTACAGAAAAAATATGTGTTTTAGCTAAGCCTTGTCAGTGTTATAATGCTGTTTCCTGAGAGTTCTATGTTAATGAATAAACAATGCAATACACAGGAAAATGGAATATGAAATTTGATGATTAGTAGGTGAAGCTAGTTTGTAAAGTAACCTCTATAATGCTACGATAAAGCTATAACAAAAACTAAAATTGGGGTTTCTTGAAATGACAGTAGATTATTTTACATATGGTAGACATTACTGTAAGAAGTTTGAAAGCCAAGAAAATTTATGATAACATTAATCAGGGTCAGGAAATTGTTAAACATTTCTCAGATAATCATGCAATTTACAGTAGTAAATATATATTAAATAAGATTTTCAAACAAAATACACAAAAACAAGGTTATGTATTCATCAGTTAACAAAAATATTGTGAACAGAAACTCAAAGGAACCTATCCCTCTATTTACCCTAGGAGCATGGCTCAGTGTTCACTAAGGAAGCATTTGCAGCTGTAACTGTAGAGAACATAACTGCTGAGAATGTACCTTACTCACCTGCACCTACTTCAGTCCTGAAGAGCAGCATTTTGACTCCTCATTTTTTATTCTCTCTTCAGTGATGCCCTTGGGCCATATTTCAGGTATCACCACCATGAGGTGCCTCTTAACCTTCAATGCATCGATCCATCTTCTGATGATTCTGCTAAAATGAAATTATAATTCAGGCCACAGATTCTACATTTCTACCAAACTCCATTGTAATAAATCTGCTGTTTGACCATAAACCACACAGGATATGGAAGACCTTCATCCTTCCCTGATCTTTCAGTTTAGAGCACTTGGAACAACAGTTTCACACTAATACTTCCCTAAATGAATAACAGAATCAGTAAGAGGCAACATTGTATTTACTCTCAGAGGCTCAGAGAAAAAACTGTAGAATTAGGGAAGCATAAAATCTCTTGGCCAAGCAAGACTTGAAGTTGGGCATGAAATGTCTCAACTACAACGCAGGTGACACAAAGGCAGAGAATTTAAAAAGAAAAAAAAACTGCAAACATTACATAAATTCAACACAGGTTTTTATTGAGAACATGTTGCATGCAGGCCAGACACTTCACCAGGGATACAGATACTTCAAAAGCACGTGCTTTGCTCCCTATGTTCTAGAAAGAAAGAAAGCTACACAACTGTCACAGAAGTAGACAGTGAGGGATACAGTTGACAGGTGGGGATGCACAGAGGGGAGATGGCTCCCCACTGTGGATCAAGGAAGGACCACTGGAGGATGTGACACCTGGAATTCATCTGATGATCCACTATATCTAACCCAGCAGAGGTTGCTAGTTTCCTATTCCATTCACAGGTAAAGTCTCAGCCCGGGTCTGAACACACATCCTGCAAGATTACATTGAGCATATATTGGTAACTGATCATGAACCAGGTAAATTACCAAGGTTTCACAAGGACAGTTGAAGTGATGTCATCACCACGTGGTGTCCAGGTGTAGACTGGGCACCTGGGTAGCTGGGTCCTCACTTCAAAGGGACAGCACTGCAGGGAGCTTCACGGTGTGTCCTAAGTGAACCAAATGAGAACAGAGAAATAACAGACCTTCATAAGGTGGAGGTGAGAACTGAGCAGAAAATGGAAATGGGGCTGAGAGGAGAAGGAAAGTGAGGAAAAAGTCAAAACAGAAGGGAAGAGCATTGGGGAGGAGGGACGAACAGGACAGATGGATACAAAGAACTCACCAGCGTTTACCAAACCAAAATCCAAGAGCTGTCAGAAGAGCCAGGGCCACTATCACAGCCAAGAGGATCCAGCCCAGGGCACTATGAGGTGCTGCAGATTCAAGTGGACACCAGGATGTTGTTTCCAATCCATTCCCCATTTTACCCCACACACTCCCTGTTTGCTGTATTAACTATTTTCTTTGAGTTTCTACTGCACCAATCATTCCTCCTATTTTATTCTTATCCCTTTTCAGAGAGGAATCCTTCTTCTATCCTACAACTTTCTGCATCTACAGACCCCTCATATTTAATTCTTCCATTCCTTGGATTAAAATATTTGTTTTCTTTTGGACCTAAAATCTCTAATGTCCCAATTTTTTAGCTGGCCCTCAATCTCTGCTATAGCAGACCTCCTCCCCGCAACTCCAGCCTGGGTCCCACTCTTACCACCCCAGTGGAGGACGAGGTCCTGCCCTCCTAGGCTGCTGTGCTTCACCCTGCAGGCCAGGCCAGCCGCCTCCCCAGCTGCCACATCCAGGGTTGCTCAGAGATACCACGTCCCATCAGCATTGGGCAGGATGTCACCTCTCTGAGTCCCCAGCTGCCCCTGCTCCCCTCGCATCCACATCACCCACACGGGCTTTGGGTAGAAGCCAGACACATGACACACCAGCAGCAGATGGCCAGGCCCAGGACTGGGGCCACTGGACAGCCAGGCCTCAGGCTTCACTGCAAAGGACAGAAAAGACATTTAGACACAGACTCTAACATACACTGAGAGGCTCAGAACTCCACATGAGACTACATGGATACATCTTTCTCCCTCTGGAAATGTCACTCGATATCCTCTTTTTATCCTGAATTTGACTTTAAAATAGAAAAATTCTTTGAGATGGGCTACAAGACTGACCTTGTCACTGGAGATGAGCCTTCCCTGCAACTAGAAGACCCAAGGTGAAACATGGGCAGGTGTCACTGAGGAGCCTATGTACCCTCTCTGTGCTGCCTTGTCTGAGATTGAGCAGTTTGCAGGCTTTCTGGGCCTTTCTTCCACCCTCTAGAGACGGTGACCATGCTTCATTCTGGAAGCTCATGAAGTCATATCCTTGGATAGCTACCTGCTTGAAGCCTAGGAAGCCCTTTCCCAGCGTGCAGTTCACAGCCTGCTGTCACCTGTAGGTTAAAGGGATCTGGGGAAGAAGAGTCATGAATTAGAGGAGAAAATGAAGAAAAGGGAGAAAATGGGATGATATGGAAGCAAAAAGACAACAGAAACAGAAGGGAGTTTGGGGAGTTTAGGGGATGGACCCCAGTGTGGTTTGGTCAGAGGTTCACAGAAAGGGGAACTGGTAGGAGCTGGAGGTGGAGGAAGAGATGATAATATGAGGAAGAGAGGGGACTGTTCAAAGGTGATAGCGATGGTGGGGGGGGGGGGGACTTAATGGTTTCTATGACAGTTTAGACAGGGAAGACTGAAGAGATTACATGGGAGAGAAAATCATGCTTTAAAGAGTCCACCAAAGAGTGAGGAAGCAGAAGGCACTTGATTGAAGGCCTGGGTAAAAGGGGGCCACAGCATTCCTCTGAGGGGAGAGAATAACACAGAGCCCTGCAGGCAATGACAGAGCAGTTCATAAGTGGCAAAAACTAATGCTTTTGAAGAATTGGGTTCTGGTTTATAGCATGTGCCCAGTGTATGGTTTCAGTTTTATGCTGAAGAGGGTGGAGTAAGATTCAGATCACAGAGAAGGTGCTCACTAGAGGAATAAAAGTTCACTGAGATGCCCCACTTCCCCTCCCTTTCTTCTCCCCATCAAGAGAACTGAGCTCACATTTAAACAATAATCTATCACTATAAAATTCCTGAGGTCTGGTGAAGTATATCTGGAAAAAAACCTTTCCAGATCCACCAACTCCTTGTTACTGAAGTTGCCCCTGCACCAGGGAAACTGGTAAATGAAGGTACCAGAGCTGCTGTTCCAGCTGTGAGTCTGCAGCTCCCCCAACCAGCCTGAGCCCTGATGTACCCAGGAGTGGTTGTGAAAGGACGATGACTGGATGACATGAAAGGAGACAGACTCCTCAAACCCTGTGGCAAAAGAATAGATAGAATAGGCAGAAATGTGACATTGGGAGGGAGAGACTTGGGAAGGTCAGTTCCAGAATCTGGAAAAGTGGAGAGCCACCGTTACCTTAGCTGACATCTGCTGGCCCCCAGGGTCCCATGCTCTATCAACAGCCTCCATGAGAGCACAGAGGGCTTGAGTAAGAGCACACAGAATGGGGCCAGCTTGGCACTCTTCTCTCCAGGTGTGTGCAGGGGAAACTACCATCACCACACACACACACACACACACACACACACACACACCCATCTGGTCAGTTGCCCCAGTTCTTACCAACATCACTGTCCCCTCCTGGGAAGAGAGCAGCGAGCAAGGGGAGTAGCAGAAACAGCATGGCCCTTGAAGATGCTACTTCTTTCTCTCAGAGAAGTCGTCCTTTGATTTCTGTTGTAAACAAACCTACCCCACAGACCTCTCTTCTGACTTCCTTATTCAACCAACAGACAGACCTCTCCTGCCTGAAAATCTGCTTCCACTCCAAACCCTGACCACCTGCACAGTTTCCCATTTCCCCTGCTCTTCTGACTCTCTGCCCAGTCTTCCAACTTCTCTCATTGTTATGAAATTCCTTTCTGGTCATCTTCCCCTATTTCAACTGTTATGGGACAAGTCTTTTGTGGCCCTGAACAGTCACCTGACCACTAGGGGCATATTTTTCAGTCTTGTGGATGGAACCCAAGGTCTTAAGTATTTTCTGTCATTTTGTCCTGTTGACATTTTGAATTATCCCCCCACATGCTCTCTTCTCTACCCCATGCCCCACTCTGCCATATTCATATCTCTGACATCACCGGTTACTTTACTTACTTTTTCAGAGTCTCCTGTGATTGTCCTCCACAACAGTATAAACAATCACCAACTCTCCATTGTTCTTAGATTGGCCAGTAGCCATCACGGAAACCACAGGGACATGGACACATATACAGAAAGATTTCCTCTGAATTTCATTGATATATTTTTCACTCAACAATCACTTAGCACCTGCCAAGAAAAAGCATCTTGCTAAACTAATGAGTATCCAGTGGTTGATAGTGCAATTGTTTATTAAAGGATCTTTCAGTCTACATAGGGAGAAAAAGGCACCAAGAACTGTAAACCTTGGTGTGCTGGGTTCAAAGAGTAGAGTCTAGATTTTTTTAAAAAAATCCTGCTTGAAAAGTGTAATGTGGCTATCTTTAATGAATGTATGTCCAAACTGTATTTTTACTTCAGTGATTGGTTTGGGGTATTAGTTCTAATATTTTTTAATCCGATGTCCCCACCTAACAGAGTGACTGGCAAGTGGTAGGTATTTAGTAAATATTTGCTCAATGTTTAAATTACTTGAGTCCATGCATACAATTATTATATTTAGTTATGAAGGAGATCTTTAACATAAAACTTTTAAGGAAATTACAAAGGATACTTATAACCCTACATGATGAAATGAGTATCCTACTTAATTTGACTTAGGATAAAGCATGTTACTAAGCGTAAACTTTACGTACAGGGTTCTGCTAAACTTCCTACTGCTCATAATAAGAAACTAGCCAGAATTTGTAAAACGTTAATAAAGTATTCTGAAATCTTTTACCCAGAATTCCCTTCTCATTGGTCCTACTTAGATGCTCCATAGTTATCTTGTCTTAAGACACTTGCTCCTGGACAGGGTTCCCTTCTTCTTTTATAGTGGTTTTGTTTGTTTATTTGTTTGTTTGTTTGTTTGTTTTGGGGTCCGGAAAGGGGGGCAACAGGGGATGGGGGTGCAGTTACCAGGGATTGAACTCAGGGGCACTTGACCACTGAGCCACATCCCAGCCCTATTTTGTATTTTTTTATTTACAGAGAGAGACTGGCTTTGAACTCCCAATCCTCCTGTCTCAGCCTCCCAAGCTGCTGGGATTACAAGCGTGTCCTACCATGCCCAGCTTTTATAGTGTTTTTAAATATTTAAGCTCTTAAATATGTGTAAATATCACCTTATAAGTATGTTTGAGTATTCATTCACTGTCTTGGTTTCTAAGAAAACAAACAATCTCATACAAATTTAGGAAAGAAATAAATTTTTGAAAAGATAAGGGTGCAGAAAGCTGGAAAGAATTCCACTCCCACACTTGCAATTTTTAAAGGCTAAATAACCAAAATCACAACTTGATTGGAGGAGACTTGAAGTATCCGGGCAACGTATGAACAACCCCCAAATCCAAGAAAAAACAGACTCCTCCAAGGAAGGATGGGAGGAAAATCTTGTGTACTTGGAACAGTTGACAAATGCTATACAAGTCAGTTAAAAGAATCCGATAAAATTGGTAACAAATTACCAAAGGCCAAGATGGTTTTACAGAAGGCCATCATCCACAGACACAGGGAGAGTTCACACCAGTCTCCAGACTGTTTTTCACAGACCCAAGCAAGAGCCCCTGAAAGACTGGAATCTGAGATGAAATCAGATACATAATCTCATGACGCAATTGTGAGGAATGACAGCAGCTGGCTACATGGAAAGGTAGGAAATCCCAACAAGGTCTTTTTGCTTTATTTTCTACCCACAAAGGAAGCCTTAACCTGACAGGGAGAGGCCAGAAATCTCTGCAGCCCTCAGGGTACAGGGGAAACCCCACTACACTTGGGGGAAAGAAAAAAGTGGAAAGAGACAAGATAGCACCCTGCTCCTAGACGAACAGAGGGAACCAGACTGCTAGGAAAAAGTCAGGAGCAATTCTATATCCCAAACCTACTGAGAGCCATAGCCAAATAGGAATGATGCATGGCATTTTTGGTTGAAAGGTGACCCCAGCAAGCCATTGAGATGATAATGATTATGTTAAGATGGGCATTCAATTGGAGATTAGACCCCTGCTGTCTGCCTAGGCCTGCTACTTTGGAGCTCTCCCGGGACTCCTGGAGAGTTCCCATTGGTTGGGGAAGTGCGGTAGGAGGGAATTCTGGAGGAGGGATTTCCTGTTGGTGTAGTGTGTCCCGAGAGAAGGCCCCGTGCGTGGCATTTTCGCGGGAGTTTTGGAAATAAAGTTTGTTCCTGCTTGAGTGGCTCCAGCCAGACTGCGGCACAAACCCAAAATATAAAAAACAAGTCACCTGCTTAGCAATGAGATGAAACAAGACAGTGCCTTTCATCCCTCTCCCCAGCAGCATAGCAAACAGCCAGCAGCAAGATCACTCCTACAATGACATTCTTCACCCAATTACAAAAAGCAGTCCTTCAATTCATTTAGAAAAAATAGCAGACCCAGAGCAGCCAAAGCAATTGCAAGCTGTAACAGTAGTGCTGGAGGCGTCACAGTATCCAACCTCAAGTTAAACCACCGAGCTAGAGTAACAATAACTTCAGGATACTGGCATGGAAAACAGACACATAGACCAATGGAACGGAACAGAAATCAGAGACAAATCTGAACAGATGTAGCCATCTGATCTTTAACAAAGATATATGTCCAAGAAAAGTCTTTTTTTCTTCTTTTTTGGACAAATGGTGCTGGGAAAGCTAGAAATGCCTATGTAGAAGAAGAAAACTAGATCCTTCTCTCTCACACTGCACAAAAGTCAACTCAAATGGATCAAAGACCTAGGACTTAGACCAGAAACTTGACGACTCCTAGGAGAAAACTTAGGATCAGCACTCTAACATTCAGAAGCAGGCAATGACTTCCTCAATAGAACTTCTAAGTCTCAGGAAATAATACCAAGAATTAATATATGAGATGGCATCGAATTAAAAGTTTCTTCACGGCCAAGGAAACAAGAGCATGAAGCAAGAACCTACAGAATGGGGAAAAGATTCTTTGCCATCTACTTCTCCAAGAGAAGATTAATATCCCAAACACATAAAGAACTCAAAAAACTTATACACACACAGACACACACACACACACACACACACACACACACCAAAAAAAATCAATTAACCCAATCAAAAAATCAGTAAAAGAATTAAACAAGCCAAGTGTGGTGGTGCATGCCTGTGATCCCAGCAAGCTCAGAAGGCTGAGGCAGAAGAATTGCAAGTTCAAATCCAGCCTCAGCAAAAGCAAGATGCTAATCAACCCAGTGAGACCCTGTCTCTAAATAAAATACAAAATAGGGATGGGGATGTGGCTCAGTGGTTGAGTGCCCCTGAGTTCAATCCCTGGTACCCCCCACCAAAAAAAAAAAAAAAAAGTAACTAAATGGATATTTCTCAAAAGAAGAAATAAAAATGGCTGACAATTACATGAAAAAAATTTTGACATCTTTAGCAATCAGAAAATGCAAATCAAAACACTAAGATTTTACCTCACTTCAATTAGAATGGCAACCAATGAGAATACAAATAATAATGAATGCAGGAGAAGATGGGGGTGAAAACAGTGATATAGACACTACAGTGTTTACAGCAGTTCAATTCACAATAGCCTAGCTAAGGGACCAACCTATGTACCTATCAACAGATGAACAAATAAAGAAAATGTGGTAAATACACACAATGGAATATCACTCAACCTTAAAGGAGAATGAAATTATGGCATTTGTTGATAAGTGGATAGAACTGGAGACTGACACACTAAATGAAATAAGCCAGTCCCAAAGACCTAAAAGCCAAATGTTCTCTATGACACACAGATTCTAACACACAACAAGTGGGGGAAGAGAGAGAATAGAAGTTTATTGGAATAGACAAAGGAGAATGAAGGGAAGGGAGGAGGATGGGAATAGGAAAGACAGAAGGACAAATTGGACATCACTTTCCCAAGTCATATAAGAATACACGACCTGTGTAACCCCACATCATGTACAACCACAAGAATGGGAAGTCATACTCCACGTATGTATGTCAATAATTAATATTTATAATAATTATATAATAATAATTATACATGACTCTACTGTCATGTATGTCTGAAAAGAACAAATATGATAATATGACTTTTTATAAAAAGAAAAAATTGAACTGGCCAGGGCAGAAAGAAAGTCCCCTTCTCTCATCCACGTATTTCCACGGACCTCTATCTGGTGACAAGATCACCAGGCTCACGTAATTGGAAATCTGCAAGAGGCAAAATGAGTCTGTGGATCTCTTGGACCCAGGGCTGGCTCCAAGGGGCATATAGACAGTTCAGTCACAGATAATTTAATTATCCTGTGATCACCAGCTTGAATTTTATAGGAGTTTTATTGAATTTGTGTTTCATAAGAGAAGTTCAGTGAAACTTGCATGGGAGCTCATAGGGGCCTCCCCAGCTATAGAGGTTCCTCCTCCACAGCCTCACCTGCATGCTCAGCCCTCCTCCACCTGCTCCCCACTATCTGGGGCCTTGGCAACTCCATACTCTGCCTCTCCACCTCCATCCTGCCACCACTGCAGTGACCAGGTCTCATTGCAGGGACAGGGCAGGCCCCTTCTGTCATCAGCCTCTGCCACTGTCTCATACCTTGCAGGCACAAAGGGACAATGGGACACGCACCAACAGTGTGTGGGAAGAACACAGGTGCAGCTCTCCCATCCAGGGTCTGAACCGAGTTCTTTTGTAACTGGTCAGGGTGAGCCTCTTGCCCACCCTTGTTCCAAGTATCAGATGCATGTGCATGTATTTGGTTGCAATTTTTCAATGGTCACCCATGTTCCAAGTGTTGAGGTGACCACTTTTAGAAAGGGAGATTAACTCTCACATTCATTCCTGCAGAGGCAAAGGTCATTTGAGCAGCTAGGGCAGGTGGCACTAGGCAGCCAGCCATAAGTTTGCACCTAGTCATGGAATGGGACCCCCAGGTGCCCAAGAGTTCCTGCAATCATCCTATAAGCATCCCTGTGCCCAAGGGACACAACATCAGCAAATCAGATAAAAACACACAGACATAACCTTCTATAGAAATAAGAAGTTTTGTATTTTAGTAGCTTTAAAAGCACTTCCCCCCACTGCCTTTTGAACACAAACCTGCTATTCTCTGAATCTTTATTTCTTCCCCAAATTCATACACTGGAATCCTAACCACCCATGTGATGAGACTAGGAGGCAGGGCCTTTGGAAGGTGATTAGGTCATGCTATCTCAATCATCAGAAATGAGATTATTGCCTTAAAAAAGGGACCCCAGGGAGGCCCCATTACGCTTCCACCATGAGAAGACATCTTCTGAAGGTGCCTTTGATGAATCAAAATGCAGATCCCACTAGAAACCAAATCTACTTTGGACTTCCCAGTCTCCAGAAGTGTGAAAAATCAATTTATGGCATTTATAAACCGCCCAGTCTGTGGCATTAATAGCCTCAAGGGCTGACAAGGCTCCACATTTTCACTTATCCCTGAATTTCACAAAATATTTGACGGCTGCTCTTGAGAGTGAGGTGTGAAAAGCAAGGAGAGGACGGTTGGTTTGGGGTGGGAAAGAGAGGAAAGAAAATCAACTAAATTAGGAAAGAAGATCTGGAACCAAGAGGTTGTGAGCTGATAAGACACGGAGGAGGAGGAGGAGGAGGAGGAGGAGGAGGGGGAGGAGGAGGAGGAGGAGGAGGAGGAGGAGGAGGAATAGGGGTGTTTTAGTCAGCCTTGTTGCCTCTGTGACCAAAGGACCTGACAAGAACAATTTGAAGGAGGAAAAGTTTACTTGGGGGCTCACTGTTTCAGAGCTCTTGGTCCACAAGTGGCCAACTCCACTCCTTGGGGCCCAAGTTGGAGGCAGAACATGGGTCGCTGATGGTTGTGGGCTCCCTCGTCACAGGAAAAGATGAGGAAAGGTCAGGGTGGGTAAGATACATGCTGATTGTAACTCAGCCAGCGGGTGTCCCAGCTCTCCTAGGGGCATCCAGGATTCTTCCCTTTGTCACAAGACCTTCCCTCAGGATCCCTCTTCTTGAATCGTTGTTGCTCAGGCTTCAGACATGCTTGTGTGGCTTCCTAACTCTCGTTCCCTGCGCACCACCCTAACTCCTGGATTCCTCCTTCCCACACAGCTTTTCCCAGAACACAGATAGAGGCTGCCCTGCCCACAGGAGCTCACTGTGCCCTCTGAATTCCCACCTCGCCAACACCAATCTCAGTCTCCCTCTCTGGGAAACCCACGCCCGTCCTGACTTCTGGCCCTTTCTGGGCTCCTCATTTAACCTCTCAAACTTCCTCAGGTTTTTCTCCTGCCTTTGTGGCTCCCTGCAGATGGCCTACGTGTTCTTTCCTCTCAGCAAACTCCTTGCAGGGAAAGGAGCTTCAGACTGAGCGTCAAGGTCATCTCTTCAAGGTCATCTCCTGCACGGGTCACCTGCATTGCATTAGGATGTCAACACTCTGGCCTCAGTTCAAAAGAACTGAATACTGGCTAGTACCACTTATGGCTCTGACGCTCCTTGTCACCTACCGTGCCCCCCTCTCCACCCATCCCTGTGTCCTCTTCCCACTCTGCTCCTCCCTCCTTCCTTCTCACTCCACGATGTTTTCACTGTCAGTCTTCACTTACCTTGATCTCAGCTCCCAGGGCCTCATCTCTGTTTTCTTACTCTGTTCATTCAGTCTATGCTCCAGTCTTCCTCCTCGATGCCCTTTCCAATCCTAGAACATGAATGTGTCCGTCCCATGGCCCTTGGAATTCTCTATGTCACTATAGAAGGCACAGTCCCCCAGTGGTTCCTGTCAAGGTGGCCCACGACATAGCTTTGAAAGACCTGCCAGGAGGAAACACCCAGAAAGGTGAGCTTTTATTTTAAACTCTTGAAGACAGAGCTGCATTCACAATGAAATAAGGGAAGTCTTCTTGAGGGAAAAAAAAAAGCAAAGAAAAAATATAATCTGACGCCAGTTTACAAATATCGTTAGGTCCAGGTTCCCTAGTGGTTGGGCTATGAAGCCAGTGTAGCTACTCACTAAATCTTGGTTGCTTTTGCTTTTGCTTTTCTCATTCTGAGAATTACAAATCACTGGTCTGAGTTTTGAGTTGACAGATATCTACTTGCATGATCCTGGAATAAAATGCATACGATAAAAAGTGATTGCAAATTTTGAATATCTCTGTGACACCTGGTAAAATTTAAAGCAAAGTTGATCCAGAGATCCCCCTCAAACAAGCCATGAAGGCCATCCATGCAAAAGCCTTTCTTAGCTGCAGCACATACAATCTTTTAAAAGCATGACTTCTTTCTAGGGGAGGGAGGTAGAAGAATCGTCTAACCTTGGCTTTTGAGTTTGTGATCTTGTCTTAATTTTTATGTTGGCTGTTAGTGAAACATGCCAATATGTGTTTTCAAGAATTTTTGTTTAAGGACGTGTTATATGAAAGGTTACAAAATGAATATTTGAATATGTACGCAAGATAGCACACAAGTGTACAAGTGATTATTAACCTTGTTGTTTTATAAATTTGTATGAACTGGAGTATCTGTTGCCCATGACTATACATGTGCAAATAAATGTGGCTTAGACTTGTGTGACTGCTTAAGGAAAAAAAATAGAGATCCCAGAAATAAACCCACACATCTACACTCAACTGAATCTCACAAAGGCTGCTAAAACATATATTGGAGAAATAACAGTCTCTTCAATTAATCATGCTGGGAAAAATGGATATCCACATGTAGAAGACAGAAACTGGACCCGCATCTCTGATCCTGTACAAAACTCAACTCAAAATGGATAAAAAGCTTAAATGCAAGACTTGAAATTTCAAATTAGTAGAGGAAACAGAGGAATTAGCTCAAGATATTGGCACGAACAATGATTTTTCTGAACAAAACCCAAAAAATCACAGGAAACAAAAACAAAAATTGACAAATAAAATAACATCAAACTGAAAAGGCTCTGCACAGCAAAGGAAGCAATTAACAAAGTGAAGAGACAATGTACAGAATGGGAGAAAATGCTTGTCACCTATGTACCTCACAGAGGGTTAAGACCAAGAGTACATAGGGAACTCCAAAAAGAGCTTAATAACAAAAACGTAATACATTTAAAATGGACAAATGATCTGGAAAGGCATTTCTCAAATAAAGAAATACAAATGACCAATAAATACATGAAGAAATAATATAATTAGCCATCAGGGAAATGCAAGTCAAAACTAAATGAGATATCATCTCACCCCATTTACAACGACGGGTTGAGTGTAGTGGCACATTCCTTAATACCAGCTACTCAGGAGGCTGAGACATGAGGATTCCAAGTTGAAGGCTAACCTGGGCAACTTAGGGAGGCTCTGTCTCAAAATGAAAAATAAAAAGGACTGGGGATATAGCTCAGTGGTAAAATTCCCCTGGATTCAATCCCCAGTACCAATAAGGAAATAAATAACCTACTGGTGCTGGTGAGAAAAAGAAACTGCTATACATTGCTGTCAAGAATGTAAATTAGTACAGTCACCATGGAGAATAGTATCAGTATGGAGGCTCCTCAAACAAATTCAAAATAGAGCTACGATATGATTCAGCTACTCCACTTCTGGGTGTTTATCCAAAGGAAAGCAAATCATCATGCCAAAGAGAGACCTAGACACTCATGTTTAGGCAACACTTTTCACAAGAGCTAAGATATGAAATTGACCTAAGTGTCCATCAACAGATAAATGGATTTTTAAAACATGGCATATATACATAATGGAAATTATTAGACCATAAAGAAAATCCTGCCATTTGCAGCAAAATGGATGGGACTGGAGGACATTATAACAAATGAAACAAGCCCAGACACTGAAAGACAAGGAGTGCATATTCCCTCTCATATGTGAAAGCTAAAACAATTCAACCTGAGTATTGAATAGTGACTAATCAAAGTTTGGAAGGGGCACAGAGGGGAAGATGATAAAAGGAAAATTAGATTAGATCCATGCATGCTATATGTATAGGTGTAGAAATATCAAACAAACCCCACTAATGTGTACAATTATCATGTTAATAAGTAAGAATAAAATTTGAAATTTAATAAGGGAAGAAATTCTTTAAAAAATACATATAACCTCTAACCCAGCAATCCCATTTCTATGTATATTCCCTAGAGAAACAAGTGCTTATGTTCATAAAGACATGCACAAACCAGGTGTGGTGGCACTACTTGGGAGGGTGAGGCAGCAGTATCACAAATTTGTGGCCACCCCAAGCAACTTAGCAAGACCCTAACTCAAAATAAAATTTAAAAAGGGTTGGGGGTGTGGTTCAGGAGTAGAGTGCCCCTGGATTGAATCTCCAATACCACCGAGAAAAAAAAATGTACAAAAAATGCTTAAAGTAGCATTATTCAAAATAGCTAAAATCTGGAACAATTAAATGTCCATTTATAGTAGAATGGGTAAACTGCTGTGTATTCACATGACTTAATACTACACAGCAATGAAAGTGTTGAACTACTGTTACATGCACAAACATGATAAATATCACAGAAATAATGTTCAACAACAACAAAAAAAGGCAGACATAAAATAGTACTTACCATTAAGATTCCGGTAATGTGAAGTTCAAAAACAGAATTAAAACTAATATAATGTGGTAGAGATCAGAATGTTGATTGCCTTTAAAAGGTTACTGATTGGAAAGGGCATCCATGAGGGAGACTTCTTGGTGCTGAAATATTTTTTATAAGAGTAGTGGGTCAATTTTGGATTTCTTCCACAATGGAGATTCTAAAACAGAAAGGAAGGTCTATATCAGCATTGGGAGCTTTAAAGGTAGAAATTTATTTGGGGGCATGATACCAGGTACCAGGACTGGGGCACTAGGAAGGGTAAAACAGGAAATGATGGAAACTCAATACAGTGATGTTATCAGCCTTGTCACCTCCATGAAAAACTGGGATCCAACTCACTAGAAGCTTCCGATCCTCCATACAGACTGTGCCTCTGACTTTTCTACCTGAGAGATGAGAAGAGCACATTTTCATGACCTCCCATCCATTAACAGACCAGGTATTATCTCCCTGACACTTGCAGTTCCGGGCGTTCACAAATGCTCAGTGGCTTCTCTCAGGTGTCCCCATCACATTGCAGGAAAAGTCTTGGGGCAAAGGTGCAGAGGGCGGGCGATGCAGCTGGAGTGAGCCTGTCACAATGGCTTCCGTGGGGATGGTACAGAGGTGTCTGCCACTATCATGTTATGTTGATGAATTATATATATGTATGTAGCACAAAAATAAATAAATATTTAAAAGTAAAAAAAAAAAAAAAATCAATCTCTTTTTCCCCCCCCTAAGAAAGCTTCAATACTCCAGTCTTACAGCCTTGGTTTAACTGTTTAGCACTCGCGCCACCTTGTGGTGAAATATGAACATCCACAAGCTACAGCAGGTGTTCAAAGAGAAAATGGGCTGTTTCACTCTGTTCCAAACTGATATTCTGGTGCCTGCTATATAGAATGCTCACCTGCAGTGACAGCTGTTTGTCTGTTAGGACCATTTTCTTAACCCCCTACTTTAAGATGAACAGGAAAACTCAATGTGGTACTTTTAAGTAAACTGTATTGGTGTGGGGAGCTTTGTAGGTGAGAAAACAGTGCTTAAATGGAGGATTTTATCTGCCTCTGGGCTATTTTTCCTATATTTTCTCCCACAGTTATGGTTAGCCTTAAATAAGATTTGCAGACTGTGTTTGTAATCTAAACAAGACTAATTACTCCAGTCTTCTGGATATCACTATGTTTTTAAATCTCCAGACTTAAAGTATCTATGACAAGGGTCTGGGGTTGTAGTTCAATTGCAGAGCGTTTGCCTAGTACGTGTGAAGCACTGGGTTCAATCCTCAGCATCACATAAAAATAAACAAATAAGATAAAAGTATGCTGTCCATCTACAACTACAAAAAAAATTTTAAGTATCTATGACAAAATATACCAAATGAATTCCATTAATCAAACTAATTCTATTATTTTAAAACCACAATTAAATAATTTCTACCTTTCCCAATTGTATTTATGCTATATTCATTGTGATAAATTATTTTATATAAGACTTTTACATTTTATATAAAAAGTACACAGTAAAAAACTGATGCATCAAATATTGAATATAAAGGTTTTGTGCATTTCCTTCTGTAGCCATTATTTCTATGAAATGTAATTTTATTAGATTGAATTGTTCCTAGAAGTCATTTTATCCACTCTAACATGTATTCTGTATTGGTTTTTGCCAGGATTCATATTTATTTAAGATTTTAGATAAAGCAAAAATGGTTTCTTAACTAATTGTTGCACTTCTCATCAGACACTCTCTAATTGCCTTTTGTCCTGAATTGGATTATAACATTGCTAATTTGCTTCTCCAACAGACTTTGCAAACTGTATACTAACTAGGCCCTCTGGACTGAGAAAGGGCACAGAACACAATTAAATATTCTCTGTTTTATACACTACTGAGCCACTTGCAAACATATGTAGGATTATTGCTTTTCAGACTTAATGGTTTTAATTCCTTCTTAATAATATGGAAACATCCAGTGCAATGCTGAATAGAAATGATGAACACAGACGTTCTTGCTTTCCTCCGAATCTTAGAAGCATAAAATGCTAACATTCATATCACGTTACAGTTTTTGTTGTTCTTTATCAAACTAGGACATTTCCTTCAATTCCTAATTTACTGAGAGTTCTTCTCATAAACAGATATTGATTGTTTGAACTCTTTTATTTCTGTTGAGATGAACACATGATTATTCCTCTATGATCTGTCAAGATGATTAATTATGCTGTTTGATTTTTAAATATTAAGCCTATGTTCCTGTTCTGGGATAAATTTCACATGCCCATGATAAAATACCTTTAGATACATTACGAGATTTTGTTAAGTTTTGTTAAGAATTTTTGTATCTAAATTTATGAGAAATATTGGGCTGTAATTTTTTGTTATAATTTTATTGTAAGTTATTGATGTTAGGAATAGCTGACCTCATAAAGCAAATTGGGAACTGCTGCCATCTCTGTTTTTACAATGAATTTCTGTAAAACTGTTATTTTTTTCTCTTTTAAATGTTGTTAGAATTCACTGAGCTAAGACATTTCTTTAGTGGGAGGATTTTTAATAATATATGTAGTAGTAGTATTTATTTACTTATTTGATCTACTATATATTTGATATTTATTGTTTTAATAGCAAATTACCAAGGAGCTAACAGATGAACACTTTTTTCTTGTCTCAGTTTCAGTAAAGTTGTGTTCTTTTAAGTATTTTTTTCATTTAATTTATATTTTCAATTATATTACCATGATATTTTCATTATATTCCCAGCTTATCCTTTTAATAATATATTGTAATAATACCTTTTCGTTTATTATTAATATTTGTTATTTGATGTTTTTTTTTTTTTTCTTTTTCTTTTTCTTTTTTAAGGTACTGGAAATTTAACACAGGGTTGCTTTACCACTGAGTTACATGCTCAGTCTTTTTTCTTTTTATTTATTTATTTATTCATTTATTCATCTACTTTTTTGAGACAGAGTCTCACTAAATTGCCTAGGCTGGCCTAGAATTTGTAATCCTTCCACCTCAGCCTCTCTGGTATCTGTGAATACGGTTGTGTGCCACTGTATCCGGCTTCTTGACCATTTTTGCTAGAGAGACATCAATTTTATTAATCTTATCAAGGTGCTGTTTAATTTTCAAATATTCTGAGTACTTTCTAGATGTCTTATTGTTAGTGGTTTCAAATTTATTTCCCTTGTGATCAGAAAACATACTCAGTAATATCAATCCTTCCATATTAATTGAAATTTCTTTTACAGCCCAACATGTGTCCTACTACAAAGAATCTTCTGTATGTGTTGGAAGAGAACGTGGCTACTAATGACCAATAACGGGGAGGAGGGGGGAATAGAAGCTCATTGGATTAAACAAACAGAAGGAAGAGGAGGAAGGGGGGATGGGAATAGAAAAGACATTAGAATTAATCGGACATGATTTTCCTATGTTCATATACAAATACATGAACTCTGTAATTCCACATCATGTAAAGCCACAAGAATGGATCTTAATTAGAATAAGTTATACTCCACATATGTATAATATATCAAAATACATTCTAAGTTCATGTATACCTAAAAAACAAATAAAGAAAGAAAACATATATTCAGAATTTTGTCAGGTATAAAGTCAAACAGTTGTATATTGGGTCATGTTGGTTGATATTACTGTTCAAATCTTCTCGAGTCTCACTGATTTTATTTACTTATTCCATCAATTGCTGAGAGAAGAGTATGCTTTAAAAAAAACTCCAAACACTATTTTGATTTAATTATTTCTCCCTTTGTTTCTGTTGATCTCTTCATTATGAATTTTAATTTTTTTTATTTTTAGGTTCATTAACATTGAGGATTTTTAGGTCTTCTATATGAATTGTTTTATCACTGTGAAAAATTCTACTCATTGAATATTGTCAATTCTTTCCAGTCCCCCTTGTATATTTGAGTTTACAACTTGTATTCTCTTTACCCTGAAGGACTTCCTTGAACATTTCTTTGTTTCTTTTTGTACTGAGGATTGAACCCAGGGCCTTGCACATGCTAGACAATCAGGCTACCAATGAAGTGTACGCCTAGGGTCTTGGTAAGTTGCACTGGCTGGCCTTAAACTTGCAGATCATCCTGCCTCAGCCTCGCAAGTAGCTAGGTTATAGGCATCTTTTAGCATTTTTCAGTAGGTCTGCTGGCAATAAATCCTCTCAGCTTTCATTAAGCATAAGACATCACTTTATTTTTAAATTTTTTAAAAATATTTTTTAGTTGTAGTTGGACACAATACCTTTATTTTATTTATTTATTTTTATGTGCTGAGTATCGAACCCAGTGTCTAGCATGTGCTAGGCGAGCGCTCTACCACTGAACCACAGCCCCAGCCCTAAAATTATTTTGATGGATGTATAATTCTAATAGGTGAGTTGCTTTTGTTTGTTGGGTTTCCACATTTTATTTATTCTATTACATGCTAGTTTACATTTCTGAAGAAAAGCCAACTGCAAGTCTTCTCATTGTTCCCACGTATGTGCTCTGTGCTGCTTCTAGGGTTTTTTTCTTTATCTTTGGTTTTCAGCAGTTTGACTTTGACACTCTTTGATACAGTTTTCTTTGTATTTATTCTGCTTTGAATTCACTGGAATTGGGGGGTCTTTGGGGTGGCTGGGGGGGAGTCGTTTGCTTTTTGTTTGTTTAGTGTGTAGTGCTGGGAGAACCTCGGGCCCCGTGCATGCTAGGCAAGGGCTTCATTCTACTGAGCTACCTCCCATCCCTCACTAGGATTTTTGAATTGATCGTTTTCATGGACTTGGGGAAAAAATAGTCATTACTTCAAAATTAGTCATTTTTTTAAAAAATATCATTTCTGCTTGGGCACAGTGGCACACACCTGTAATCCCATCAACTCAGGAGGTTCAGGAGGCTGAGGCAGGAGGATCATGAGTTCAAAGTCAACTTCAGCAACTTAGCAAGACCCCATCTCAAAAAAATAAAATAAAATAGAAGGTTGGGGGATGTAGCTCAGTGCTAAAGCACCCCCCGGATGAATTTCCAGTACAATTATTATAACACAAGTCATAGATGATGTTTTAATCTGTCAGCATTTTTCCTCAGTGTTCTCTTTTGAATAATTTCTATTGACCTTTCTTCAAGATCCTTGACTCTTCTTTCACAGTGTTTGTTCCATTGTTAAGGTCAACTGCTATGTTTTTGCTTTTTGGACTCATTCTATTAGGTTAGTTTTTTGTTTTTTAAGTTTCCTTTCATTTTTATGAGATTCCCCATATTTACCTGCTTGTTTCGTCTCTGCTTATAACTTTCCAAGTGGATTTTTTTTGTTTTTTATTGATTTTTTTAAAATGACAGTAGAATGCATTACAATTCTTATTACACATATACAGCACAGTTTTTCATATCTCTGGTTATATACAAAGTATGTTGACACCAATTGGGGTCTTCATACATGTACTTTGGATAATGATGTCCATCACATTCCACCATCCTTGCTTGTCCCCTGTCCCCTCCCTTTCCCTCCCACCCCTCTTCCCTATCTAGAATTCATCTATATAATTTTCTGCCAGTTCTGGTTTCTGAGTTGTCTATTATTTTTTTATTGATTGACTTTTGTATTTTGTATGGGTCTCATTTCCACATAAATGAATTTAGAAGCATTTCCTGGTATACTGAACATCATACTCCAATGATGTACAATTTAGATGCTAAGCAACTTAGGATGGGCTTACAACCCAATAAACCCATCATAAGTGGAAAACATCTTAAGTCAAGAATGCATTTAATGCAACAAACCTATGAACTTTGCAGCTTGGCCACACAGTACACTGCAGAGTGTCAGCTGTTCACCCTTGTGGTCACGTGGCTGCCTGGGAAGGACAGCTCACAGCTGCTGCCCAGGGTCTAGAGAAGGTATTGTGCTGCATATCACCAGCCTGTAAAGAGATCGAAATTCAAAGTACAGCTCCTTCTGAATGTGTATCATTGTCACATCATTGTAAAGTTGTAAGATCATAAGTCAAACCATGGTAAGTCAGAGACCTTTTGTATATAGATAATAGTGGAGACTGAGTTACACAACGTTTTTGATTTGTTTTTTTATTACCAAACTTGTACAATCTCCTTGTTCTGTATCATTGATAAAGTGGGGAGGTGATCATTTGGATTTCACCAACTATCTAGCTAATCTTGGACAAGGAAGCCATGTTTAAGATTGAATTTACTGCTGGTTAGCCTTTCCTCACAATTCCACGGCTGTTCCTGCCCGAGTCTAATTTCCTTCATTTTTTTCAATGTGTGACCCTGGAGTATGGTGTGGGTTGGCACTCAGTTTCACATTTTGAATCAGACGTAGAAGAGCCCCTCATTTCCAATCTCCTCAAGAATAAATAAGACTAGAGAGTTTTCTTCTACTTTTTAGCCACTGAGATTACAGGCATGGACCATACCATGCCCGACTAGGTCAAGTACATTTCTGCTGCATTTGGGAGGTTTCTACACTCCATTCTCCCTGCCCTGCCACCAATATTGCCAGTACCTCTCTGTCAGTCTGGCAAGCTTTCTCCTCCACCTGTGCCTCCAGAATCTGTCACTTCTCAATGACTTCATTTTCTGAACTTTGCATCCACCACCCTTCAGTGTTTCATGGACAAGTTTGAGTTTTATAACATCTTAAGGGGTTGTGTTCTTGTTTTTATTTTGTGCATTGCCATAAGACTGAATATCTTCCACCTTTTTCCACATCATAGTCACAAAGCCGTTTGTGTTTCAATTGTAGCCAGGCTGTAAAAAAAAATTATACTTTCCTTATTTTGTCTATAACTGATATGGCTTTCCTTATAATTATCTCTCCTGCTGGGTAGCAAGGGTGTTTTGAAGTGTAGTTATGTTTAAAACTCTGGAATTCAGGATTTTGTTTTTCTGTCGGGAACCTTGGAGCTCCTACTACTGCACAAACAGAACACAGAGGGGACATGTTCTCTGGGGCTCTGTTTGACTCCAAATGGGAGATCTCCACCCACACTCCTTCCAAAGCAAACACAGAGGGCTGGGTTTGTAGCTCAGTGGTAGAGCCCATGGGAGGCACTGGGTTCTATCCACATACAAATAAATAAATAAGATAAATGTATTATGTCCATCTAGAAAAATATTTTTTTAAAAAAAGCAAACAGAGACATAACTAAGGAACAAATGAAAACATAAACAACAGCTCAGCCTGGAGCTGCACAGCAGAGGAGAGAGACTCGGGCTTTGAAGGCATAGAGCTCAGTCCAAAACCAGTAGAACACTAAGGCAAAAACAGCAGAAAATAGAGCAGCCAGCAACTGAGAGTTTCAGGGAGCCGGTCTCCATGTGCAAAATGAAAAGAAAGCATGGATACCCTGCAATGAATTCCCCTAGGAAATCCGTTAGCGGCATATTCATCCTTGAAACAGCAAGAAAGTGAGAGCTAAGTCCTAAGCCACCGAACCTGAGATGTCATTAGTCAGCAGTGTTCATTTGGGATGTCACACAGAATATTCTGCAAAATCATGCTGACGTTTTAAAATCAGACATGTCACATAAAATTCCAGATTTCCAGTCTTCTTGGGAAATGCAGATTACAGCCAAGCTAGAGTTTGACTTTGTACTTGACAACAGGCCACCGCAGCTGCCACCTTGGCACAGGATATGAGCTTCCCAGCTCAAGACAGATTCCATCACTCAGAGGCCAACACATGCACTTCCACCCTAGTCCCTGTATCTCCGCATTGCCTGCAGGTAAACACGGGAGTTTGCACTGCTGTTTGTACAGAATCACTTGTAACAGAAGGAAAAAGAACTTAAACTCTTTTAGATAAATGTTAAAAGAGGAGGTGATTATTTTTGTTACTTCTCCAAGACCACACTCACTTCACACTCAGTTCCTGAGCAGGGGAAGACTACAGTCCTGGGAGCTTGATGCTCAGCCTCCAGAGAGGCAGGTGGCCAGGAGACTCACAGGAAGTCTTCATAGGAGCTGTGAGGGAGTAGAAACGGAGACACCTTTAGGAAAACAAGAACAGGGGATGGAGAAGAGAGAAGGAGGGAAAGAGCAGATGGAAGGGGAGACTTACCTGCGTTTCCTAATCCAGAAGATTAAACCTAGAATGAGCATAAAGAGGAACACCAGACAGGTCACCACCAGGAGGACCAAGCCTACAGAGGTGTGGGTCCCATCTGCATGGGGGAAAACAAGGTGTGTGTCAGCACAGGACACTTCCAGGTATCAAGTTCCCTGGCCTAGCACATGTGAGGGGGCCAGGTGCTGCTTATTCCCCACCACCACCATGGATTTAAAGCACCAACTTCTATTGCTCAGAAGTTTCGACTCCCCACCTTTTCACAGGGTCTAGGCACCTGCACTACAGTTCAT